TCTGCTTTCATAGTATTAAAGGTAAATGTAGTGTAAAAAAATACTGGCCCTTGTATCAGGATGAACTAAAAAAACAGGCAGCATGGATAAGATAATGCATTTTGCATACATTCATTTTCTATTTGGTGTTTTATGAGAAGCCATAATGAAAACCTATATTATTAAATGTTATTAAATAGCTATTATATAAATATACTACACCTATAAAATTTAACCATGTAAAATTCTCTGAGACTTCAATAAGAAAACATGTTAAAGCACTCAGAACAGTACTCAACACATTGTTAGCCCTTAACAAATGTTAGCTATTAATAGGTTTCTATAAGCAACTGCTTACATTCCCTTGGCCTACTGATACAGGGCAAAGAAAGGTCAAGATAGTTAGATCCTCTAGATCCCTATTCCCGAAGCAATTTATAGTATCTGACGTCTTCTTTAATGTCTTCCCTTTATTTCATCAATTTATTAGAAGTTAGTCCAGGAAAGAGTAAAGTGCTACTGTCAAAAGTATAGGAAAAATATCTAGGTTGTGTGCATTGGCTGGGTATAGAAGTTTTGATTAGCAATGGAAAACCAAAGGCTGCTTTAGTAGATCAAATTTTCTTTCAGGGTATGTCATGGGCTGAAAATTAACCAAAACACACACAGCTCATAGGCTAACTAGAAGATCAAAAATTGCCTGTACAGCTGATTGTACCGCATTACAAATATATCTCTGAGTTATTTTTAAAATTCTGGGTTTTTAATAAGACTAAGTCTGCTGAGACAAAGTCAATTCCTTAACCACATTTATATTTAACCTACCTCAATAACTTGTTAGTAACAAATTTTTATTTCTAGCCAGCTTTGCCTCAGGGCCCACAACATTTAGAGTCACCAAAAAATGACGTAGCATCAATTTTACTATAAAGGCCATTTCCAAATAGCTAAATCAAAGCTTTATTATTCTTAACTCAGTAACTTGAAAACATATTCCCAAATTCACATCTCTACATCAAAGCCCCACTTATTCTGTGAATTTAAAATGTCAAATTCCAGTAACAAAAATAATTTGGATTCTACAAAGGGTTTACTGTATTGAGATAGAACTTATTTTAAAAAGGCTATAAATTTATCACTTGATCTTTCTCCTCTAGGTTACCTAGCTGGGTAATTACCTAAACAATAACACTGGTTGACAATACTTTCTCTACCTTTTCCAACTATAATGCTTCAGCAAATGTTCCACAACACTATTCAACAGAATAACACTTTAATGATGTGGCTGATTATCACAAGAGTACAGTTTTCTGGACTAGTAATATGGAACATAAGCAATATATATTCAAGTACATTTTTCTGTGTTAAAATGAACCCAAAAGTTTGAAATCAAGGTGAAAAAGGTTCCTTCCAAGACTCAGTGTCTAAAGATACAAACCAGCACAATCTCAAATAATACAGCCTCCCCCAAGAAACATCTCATTATTTCTCAGGGATTCACAACACTTAATTGTTATGAACACAATCACTGTAAAAAACTAAAAGTTATATTTTATAAACTAAAAAAGAATCCCAAAAACATTTATTTCACCTCTTAGCCTTAATCCTCAATAAGACCTGAATCCTAAATTCACTGTTATAGTAGACATCTAAATGTTTGCTGAATATGAATAAATGAAACAAATGAACAAATAATTTACAGTAAAATCTGTATTTCAAAAGGAAAGAAATCTGCAAGGGGCCAATTGTTATTTAAGCCAGTTTCACACTATCACCCTCATCTATATGCCACAATTGAAGGAAAAGCAAAATTTTGAATTCCCAAATGAAAGCATGCTATTGCAGCCATGCAACAAATCCCAGATTGCAAATCAGAAAACTTCAGTAACAGATAAACTGAAAATTAATAAGCACAGACTTTATCTTCAAGAAAAAAAAAGTCATGTAGACAAAATTATTTTTTATGGACCTCAGGTATACAAAACTAGATTTTTCATAATCTCTGGTTTCTGATACATTCTTATCACTGGTTCAAAGCCAGTTTTAAAATCCAGTCTATCATAGAGAAAAAGACACAAACCGTGAAGAGGTGGAGTTAGGGGAAAATGTGTCCTTTCACAATTAGAGAATGTACTATGAAGTTAACACCAAGAACATTCACAATTGTGTACTTGACTGCAGTGACAGGCATTATATGTAACAAACCCCCAAGAGGCAGTAGGTATAGCTGTTATAAAGACTGGAGCCAGACTGCCCAAGTTCAAATCCTAGCTTTGCCACTTAGTATCTCTGTGACTCCGAGAAATTACTAAACCTCTTTTATGCCTCAGTTTCTTCACCTGTAAGATAACAGGACCTACTTCATTGAGTTGTATGAGAATTAAATAAGTTAATACATGTATAGCTTTAAAATAATGCCTGGCACATGGTAAACATATCAAGTTAAACAAAGTCACCATAAACTACCACAACCCTAAAGGTAGCTCAGAAATTTCCCTTACAACGTGGATAAAACTTTTAAATCATAGTATCCCACAGATTTTCCTCACTATTTATCAATGTAAAAACACACTTAAGTTCAAGTGTGTTCACAAAAACTCTTAAAAATACAGTATTTCTACACAGCTGATCCCACCAAAAGTAGCAAAAACCACTCAGTTGCTGAAAATCTAACATACAGTTCTACAGTTCCTTCCAAAGGTTGATATCCCAAAGAAATAAAAGTTAAAACTGATATAGAAAAAAATAAAGAGGAACTTGAAATAATGCCATTTCAGTTCTAAGGAGAGTGCCTGGCCCACAACAGGTGCTCAATAACCTTTTGCTGAATTAAGGCCTAAAAGTGAAACTACTTCTGGCCTACACTTTCCTTTCTCCATCACTGTCAAATCCACTCCAGATAATTTTTTTGAGAATATCTAGGTTCATAACCTATCAAACCTACCAAACCAATCAATTTTTAAAAAAGGAAAGTAAATAAAATACAATATAAAGAGCAAACTATATAATCTGTTCAGAGAACAAATAATTCTTCACTGTATTATGATTTCGAATGTGAGCTTTTCCTATCTTTGGGGGAAACACTCAGGAAAATCACTACTGAAAGAAAGACTATTTAAAAATATATAACAGATCTCATCAACTCTAATTTCATAGATATCATAAAATTAGTTTTCAATTCAGACCAGTACACATATATAGAAGTCTCAATTCAATGAAACTCAATTTTTCCTAAGTGTCTACTCCAAATTTAGTTACTTCGGTTAATAACACTATATATTACAGTTATGTAATATAACTGTAACCAAAAAGATAATATAACCAAAAAGATAATTTCTAACCAAAGTAAACCAGCAAATCTCTACTGGATTAAACTTTTTTTTTTAATATAGAGGTCTCAGCTCAGCTGCAAAGTAGGAATTGTTGGATTAGATGGTTCTCAAGATCCCTTTCAAAAGTAAAATCCTAGGGTGACAGGACTCAGATATGTCCCATAGTGTACTATATTGGCTACCTTTTAAAAATATGCACAGTTGACGTTTTATGTATGGCCAATATTTTTAAAAATTAAAATATCTAATTCAAGCAAGGGATACTATAATAAAAGCAAGCACCCAGGTGTTCTAACAAGAATTTATAATACTCAATTCACAGAACACTGAATTCACTGTAAACTATAAATTATTTCCTGTTTCCATGTAGTTAACCTGTAGATCATTTGGTAACAATTTCAGGAATCAATCATACTTTTAACTTCAGCCATATGTGATCAAGAAACAGTTCTTACAGTAAGAGTTCTACAACAGCACTGAACTACAGAATAAAGCATTTTAGTTACCTGTCCACCTTGAATTTTTAATACCACACTTTTAATAAATGCTCAAATAACAAAGAACCATTCTATCAGAATCATTTCAAGGTTAATAACAGTAAGATAATGTTTCTATTTCAAAGTTCACAGGGAAAATTGAACCCTAAAATAGATCTCTAAAAACTTCATCAAAGAAAAATACTGTTAATTTTCAATTGTTATTTAAACAAAAATCTATAGGTGGGTTACTAACTGCAATAAATTTAGACTGAATCTCAAATATTTTAAAATACATTCAATGTTAACTTTACAATCTTCTCAACCTAGAAGTAGCTTCCATGATCTTAGGCAAGATAAAGATTATTTTACTATTGTATACTAAAGTGTGCATCTGTACTACCACTCTCCCCAGAACTACAATTCAGAACACTTGAAATAAATTTACAGCTAAGACACTAGGTCAATGTAAAAAACTGCTACTAACAAAATTCTCCTCATCCCCCAATATCTATTTAAGGGCCATATTTTGCTGTTTCTTAGTGTACTTTCAACTGCATAAAATAACAGCATGAAACACAGAGTACAGTAAGGTATACCACTGTGTATCAAAACTCACAACTCCACAGAACTTTAGGAATACAGGATACTTTATTCCTGACCCATGTAGCTACCCCGTCATAAACAGTAACACTTAGGACTTCATCCTATGCAAAGAATACACAACAGAAAGTTAGAATACAACAGAAATAAGAACTGATAAATTTGCTTAGCTATTACTATGGGTCAGGAGAATCAGTCTCACTCCTGCCTAATGATAACGTAAAACAAAAAGAAAAAAAGGAAAAAGAGAGGTTCTTAGAGTCACCTGCTTATTTCAAATCCAAGCCTCCAACATTTAGCAGTGCTCATCAACTTCCAGCAGTAAGATATTATAAGAACTCAGAACAGCCTTCAAGTTGAATGCTACTTTTAAATTCTAACCTAAATATGTTCTTTTAAGTGCATCAATACACTCTGAAACTCAGACATCAAATATTTCAAAGTATAAGGACAACTGGTATCTACTGAATTCTAACAACTCATCAATAACATTCCATAAGTCCCCAAACACAAAACCTAAATGTAACTTCTACATAACTTCTTAGAAATGTGACTTTGTAGCATGCTCTATCATCAGCTCTATGAACACTGATGCATATGCCACTCTTACCTTATCCTTTTCATGTGGAAGGAGTGACACTGGAGGTAAAGAGGAAAGAGACTCACAACTCTCTTTCCCATCCACACTGGTTGCTTTAGTGTTGAGCCGATAAAGAGGTCCATCTTTAAGGAGTCTGCCGTGGCCAACGGCTCGTTTAATAGCCAATCGTAACTGCTGGTGAAAGCCAGAGGCAGCACTGCCTCCAAATAACGCAGACACATCCTTCTGACCTTTCAAAAAACGTTCAATGCTTTTCAAAGTCGAGCCACTGGACTCTGCCAAGCCCTCAACTGCCCGCTTGATCAGTTTATTCCAATCTACATTTTGTTTATTATCCAATTTTCCATGGTTTCGGGGTTTAGGAAGTGCTATTCGCCCAGGATTATCAGGATCTTTATAGGAATTGAGTCCTTTATTGGAGACTTTTAAAATTGTTCCATCTTTAACACTCAACTCCAATTGTTCTAAAACAGTTTTACGATCCAAGCCATGGGATGAAGACACTGCATTGCATATCCTTTCTTCTGAAGGACGTTGTTTTTGCTTCTTCACTTTTTTGATGGCCTCCAAAATCCACTCCGTATACAGCGGGTTAGCGAGTTTTACCATGGTGAAGGATTCTGTATATCCATAGAGTCGTTATCCCTTATCCTGATGCTGAGTAAGTTTTACACCATGGAAAACAACATTCTCGGAGGCTGGGAACCAGTTAACCATAGCATACAAGTTTTCTGGCCTGAGTCCTTTCTCCCTTCACAGAGTGCCTCCTCACTTTTACTTTAGAAACCAAAACAACCTGTTATTTGAAATGTCTTTAAATTTCGCAATAAACTTCTCAATAGCACCACACATGGGTCTCTTCATAAAGTTGTAAGAACTCAAGAACATCTCCTTCCCAGCAGAAAAATGTGCATCTTATGCCTGAAAAACAAACATGGTCAGTTTTCTATCAAGTCGCATTTTGTAAATAAGCTAATAACTGAGACATCCTAGTCGTTAAAGATAATCAAATATCAAGTGTTTACTGAGCACCTGTAGAGTTTTAACAAGTTTCTACCAACATTCCAAAAACAGTTATGTATGTAAACCATTGGGGTAAAAAGGGAAAAAAAAAAAAGATGTATAATTAGGATACAATGAGGAAACAAGATGAGATATACTATGAATGACCTTAAGCTACAACTAAGCAGAGGGGTGCTGACTATTCTGTACTCCACAATCTCTGCTCACCAGTCTATGAACTGAAACTCTTCCTTCACATCTTTCCCCAAGAACCTATTCAGCACTTCAACAAGTATCTGGATTAGTAGAAAGAATCCTGCAATGAAAGTAAGAGTGAATCTTTCATCTTTCAAAATTCCAGACATTCAAACTGCATAAAAAGTCAAAAAAGAAAAAAACAGTCAACAAGGCAAAAAACCATTGAGAAAATTTTAACTATTTCATGTATTAAAAGAAACAAAGAATACAATTTACACAGATCAAGTTCATATTTTAAGTACATTACTGTAAACATTCTAAATGGAAACAAAAATAATATTGAAAATCAAGTGAGAAGTCCTTAAAGAATTTTAAAATCCAAATTCAAATTTTAAGAATTACATGCTGATAGCTTCTCCTAAACCAAACTAAAATACTAATATTCGATATACTAGAGAGAGAAACAACTGTCAAAATGTTCATAACCAAGCTACACATAAACCAGAAGAAAGGTCCAGAATCACTGGGTTCAAAAATGCACACACTACATATCAAATGTACTATATTGCCTGTTGGAGGTTTAAAAAGATCTCACAGATTCAAGATTGCTGACCTGAAATGTACATTAATGAGTAAAACACAAGCACATATATATATTCCCTCTTCAGGATCAAAGTCAATAGTCTTCTTTGAAACAAAAGAATCTGGCAGATACACATCTTTTTGAAAATCACCAAAATAATGAATTCTGAATCAAATTAACTTCTTTGCTTCCAAAAAATAAATATAACTTGATTTATTTTTTTTAGAACGTCTGTTCTTGTTCTGAGGAGCATTTACATTACAACATAAACAATGATAGAAAAATGGCTCCCGCAGCAAGTATTAGGACTGACATTAAAATCAAAAGGAAAACTAACAGACATTAGGAAAGCTACAGTCCTATTAACTCTAATAGGAAAGAAAAGGCTGAAGTAAACACTCAAACCTGAGCCAAGATTTATTTTTAAATTAGCTGACTAAAAAGAAGCCCCCCTGAGAGAGCTATGCTTCATTTTGGTGAGAGTCTCGAGAGGATAGAAATCATAGTCTTATTACTCCAAGAACGTTCATTATATAGACATTAACGCTAAACTACATGAGAGGCTACAAATCTGAGTTTAAGAAGCTGGGAACGTCCTAATTGATTATGCTCGCAGGTAAACTAATGAATGACAGCTACTCATTGTCTCTCTGGCCAGGGTTTTCACCAGTCTCCAGGTCTTCCGAAAGTAAAGCGCCTGCAGACCTGAACTTTAACTCTCTGAAAGTACACCAGCGGCTAGAGAGAAAGTACAACTTGCTTCCGACAGTCCTTCCCTGGTCTCCATTCCCCACCCCCAAACACATCTTCGCGCTCTCTTTTTAAAGAGCGAGAAACTTTAAAAACTTGGAACTGCACAACCCTGCAGCTTGCCAACGGGTAGCTTCCCCGTTCCCATCAGATGGAAACAGAACCCGAGGACTAAGTTAACAATGAAATCACGTGAAAGAGTTAAGAGCAATGTATCTCCCATTCCCGGCTCCTCCAAATCCTAAGCTCCACAGAGGCCGGTTCAAAGGAGGCGTTTGGGGCACGCAGGCTGCCCAAGGAGCCTGACAGGTCCCGCAGCTCCCGTCCAAACCGGCCGAAGGTTGACAGGCAGCCCGCCGCCTCCCCTCCCAGCACAGGGGCTGACAGCCCGACAGACACAACACCACACGTGCTGCCTCCTCCGCACCACAACACCCGCCAGCCTGTCACCCCCACTTGCCGCCTCAGCCCCGCTCGGATCTCCGCGAACCCGGCCGGAGCCGGAGAACGAGCGCCCGGGAGCGCGGGCAGAAGGGGCCGCGCCCGGCCTGGGGCGGCGAGCGGCCGGGCGCAGGTGGGGCCGGGGCTGTGGCCGCGCCCCCGAGGGAGAGCGGGCTTGCCGACACAGCCCAGCCCGAGGCTCCGCGGCCTGGGCCGCTCGCCGCCCGCCCACCCGCCGGCTCCCCGGGGCTGGGCCCGGCGGGCGGGCAGGCGGGCGGGCGGGCGGGCGGCGGGGGCGTT